GTTCCAAGGTACTTTTGTAACTGGGCGATTGTGGTAAAGGGTGGTCGGGATGTGTTTCCACCATCGTTGCACACGGAATTTCTTAACATTCTTGTTGACAATGGGGCCAGCCGTGAGACATTAGTTAACATGGTGCGGGATGTACATAAGATACAAAGTGAGTCTCCAGGGTCGGTGGAGACGGATGCGAGGTCTCGTTTTCGCGTCCTTCCAGCCCTTTTGCGCTACACCCCTCCGCTGCTCTCCGGTTACAGCATGGATGATACCGAGGACGTATTTAGGCAGCTTCGTGAATGTGACTCCGATGTGGACTATTTTTACCACTTGTGTGAACAGGAGGACTCCAAAGGGGTTTTTATGTGCATCAATTCCCTTGGAAAAGCCCCTCATTTGGCTTTCTCAATGATATCTGCCATCTTTACGTTTGTCCGCTTTGACGTGGAAGCCCTCTGCCGGGAGTATAAAGAGTCGGTAAAGAAATTGGTGAACACGAAGCAGTTGCACCTGCTTCTGGAGGAAGTGTACGTCACATGGCAGGCCCTCGATCGTACCCCAGAGAACAGTTTTTTACTTTTTGTGAAGGCACTTCGGTCATTAAACGCAGCGAGGGATCAACTTGACAAATTTAAGACGCTTCTTACCAAAAATTACGGTACTGCCGGTAAGAAGGATGCAGCCATGCTTGACAAGCTCAAGTAGGCCCAGAAAATACACATATAATAAATATTTTTATTTTTATTTATATTCATATTTATATAAACAGGGAAAACAACAAGAAAACTCACACACACACACAAAAAAAAAAAAAAAAAAGAAGGGAAACGAAAAGGGGAGGGGGGGGAAAAAAGGAATGAAAGAAAGTGGGGAGAATGGATGAGTGAAATGATTTATGTGTCGTTGTGTGCCCCCCTCTGTGGAGGAAAAATAACAATGAAACACAAGGAAGAAGGAAGAAAGAAAAAAAAAGAAAACACACACACACACGCACACGCATGGAGCTGATGTATTTTGTGTTGTTGTTTTCTTTTTGGAAAAAACGGGTTGTGCATGGGTGTGTGGTGAGGAAATATACGGTTGCACGTGTGGCATGGCAGGTAAACATGAACGATGCCATATGTGTATTTAAAAATTATATATGTATGTACATGTATGTATGTAACTTATGAAAAGAGGGAGCAGGAAAGTGAATATGGGCAAGCCGGATTCTACTGCGTGTTTCTACATATATATATATATATATATATATATATATACAAACACACTCTGTCTCTTATGGAATATACATATACATATATCCTTTACCTTATTGTTGTTGTTGTTTCCCCTTAGACCCCTTTTTTGTTTTTGCTGCGTTTGTGCGTCTGTGTGTATGGACCTGGCTTATATAAATTTTTTTATTAGCAATGATAAAAACCTGAGAGAAATTTGATGTTTTTGTTTGTTTGTTTGTTTTCTTCTTCTTCTTCTTCTTTGATGTCACGCGATGGCTACGCGTTATTTATGGTGCCGCCACTACTACCACTTTTTTGCCACTCACCGATGGGGTGGGTGGAGGGAATCCGACGGTCAGCCACGCACTGAGGGCCGTGGAAGGAATGAAGGAAGGAGGAGGACACTTGGCGCATGTGTCTTGCGGCCAGAGAGAGAGACAGAGAGAGTATTGAATCAAACAAACAGACCGACAGATGGAAGAGAAGAGAAAATAAAATTATTTACATGTCTCATACATACATACATATATATATATATATATATGTCTTATATATCTTGTATTATACTTTTTTTTTTCTTTTGTATTTTTGTTTGAATGTGTCGTCCGCAATGTCTGTACCTGTGCCAGTCTGTCTGTCTGCGTGTGTTGGAATTTATGGCATTTTCTCCTTGTTCTTTTGCGGGCATGTCTTTGAGGGTGTGGTTGGAAAGGGGAGAGCACACCGTCGGCTCTCCTCCAGCACACACACACACAAAAAAAAAAAAAAAAAAAAGAACGAAAAGCAACATGCAGGCAGGCAGAAAAACTTTGGGGATGAATGAATGATTGCATGGACGTGCCGTCGTGGCATGTGTGTCGTCGGTGTATTTATATATAAATAAAGGCCGTGGTTGTGCCTCGAGGGAATAGAGAGAGAGAGAGAGAGAGACAGGAGGGGAGGAGTGAGTGCGAGAGATGGAGAGAAACGTCTTAAAATGTCAATGAACAAATAAATAAAAAAAGGAGAAGAATAAACAGGCGGCAACACTAAACAATTAATTAATTAATTATAATAAATAAATAAATTTAAAAAAAGGGACCAAAAGAAAAAAAAAAAAAAAAAGAAGAAAAAAAAAAATTTCATTCGACGTATTAAATTACAAGAAATGCGGTAAAATACACAAATATATGTATACATGTCTATATGTATGTGTGTATGTACTATTTTTTTTTTATTCTTCCTCCTTCCCCTCCCACGCACACACAGAGACAGAGAGAAAGGCAGGCAGGCAGGCATACGAAAGAAAAATGAAAAGAAAAAAGGAAAGAGGGAGAGAGAGAGGAATAAAATAGAAGTGTTGCCTCTGCGTAACCGGGGAGATCAGAAGGTCGAAATGCAACCAAACAGAAGGAAAAAGAAAAAAGAAAAAAAAGGGGGGGGGGAAACATTTGTGTTTTTCTTGAAGAAAAAAAAAAAAAAGTATTTTTGCCTCGCGCAAAAATTAATGTGGTGTCGCGTTTGCAATAAACCGGGGGGAATGACCCTCCCGCTTTTCCGCTTTTTTTTTTTTTTCTGTTTTGTTGTTTTGTTTGTGCAAGTTGAGACGCCATGCGTGCCTCTCCCTGTCCCTCTCTCTCTCTCTCTCTGTGTGTGTGTGTGTTCCCCGCACTCCATGGCGCACCCCTTCGCGTCGCGGAAGGACATGGAGCCTCGCACGACACAACAGAAGAAACAGAGAAAAAAAAAAAAAAAGATCAAACGAGAAGGACGGAGAAGTGGAAAAAAAGAAAAAGGTGGGGAGGGGGGGGGACATTTGTCTACACGTGAGGACGTCTTTTCCCCTTTTCTTCTTTTTTTGTTTTTTGTTTTTTGTCGGTCGGTCGGTTGTTGTTGTTTTTTTTTCCCTTCGCGCCCTAACTCTCTCTTTTCCTCCCGCTGCGGATCCCTGTTGCTCACTCACTCACTCATTTGTTGTTGTTGTTGTTGTACGGCGGGAGCGCCGTTGTTCAGACGCTCCGGTGCAAATGATGCCGTTTTGTTGTTGTTTGTTTGTTTGTTTGTTTTTTGCCCTCACGTTTTCCTTTATTTTTATCTCTCTTTTCTTTTTCTCTCTTTCCTCCCACCCGCTGCTCCGCTCGTGCGTTGACTGTTGCCTCCGATGCGCATGTCGTCTCTTCCTCTCCATCTTCTTCCCATTCACTGTTTCCGTTTTTGTTGTTGTTTTTGTTTGGTGGCCCTCACGGCATCATCGGCAGAACCCGATAGACGGACGCGTCGTCGTGCATTCAGTTTTCAGCCACTTTAGCGGGGGAACAGCGGAATAAGAGGCGACACGAAGAGGAAGGAACTCTCAGCGATGGAGGCAACAAAACAAGAAATGGATGAGGCATCAGCGCTGATTGCATGGGGACGACAAGTTCTTGTGAACAGGCGCCTGCAGAAGCAGCGGGAACGGATGCAGCGTGAGATGTCACACGATATCGACGCGGTGCAACATTTGAACCACATCGGAGCCCGTCATTCGGCCATGTCCGAGGCGTCCTCAGCGTGCGACCGGGACGGTGTCGTCTCACCGCACAGGCATGAGAAATCGATGGCAAAAGGAAACCGAGTGCAACAGCCGCTGGAGCGCCACGTGGGCCACGACGGTGTGGCGTCAAAGCGCATTGAGTCTCATCCGCGGGCCTCCATTTTTAGGCAAGATGCAGTGGAGGCGTCGCAACTCCAGCGACGGGTTGAGGTGGCCAAAAAGACTCTACAGGAACTGAGCGAACTCGATGTCCAGAATGATAAGGTGTTTTGGCAGCACATGCAGGAATTGCAGAGTATGCTTGAGCAGGTCGAGTTGCAGAAAGAACCGCTCCGCCATGCTACCACACTTTCCTTTGGAAAAAATGCTGTGGGGGAGTCCACGTGTGGTTCAGCAACAACGGCCTCAACACCGCGCCAGAAAAATGGGCACGAACAGAAATTGAGTCGCAAAGAACAGCTGGAAGAACTCTGGTCTCTCCAGAAGGCCCTGCTGAAGAGTCTGCAAGATGAAAAGTTCGGCGGCGTTGCAGTGGCCTCATTGGCAACATGTGCAAGTGACGTGCCAAATTGGGATGATCGCCTCTGGTGTGTGCTCCGCCAGGCGATTCATGACTGGAAACTACGGCTGGTGCCATCCCTTCACCATTTTCTGAATCTCGTGCAGGAGCTGCCGATGCTTCAGCAAGAAGAAGATAAAAAAATAGGCCTTAGGAGACCCTTGCCCCTATCCAGTGAACATGCTGTCGCCATGGAGGCCTCCATTATCCCCCTCACGAGTCAAGTGATGCTACCGGCGGAAAAGAACTACCCAGCACTGGAATGTTTGGATAAACTGCCATTGCAGGAGGCAATTGGTGTTGTTATCGACGTACTTGCAAGGGCGGGAATGGAGACGGAGGCGTCACTTGCATCTATCATTAAACTATCGGATGAGAAGGACGTGCAGCTTGTCAACCTCCTTGAGGAGGCGGAAGGGCAGTTGAAACAACAGGAGGATATGTTGGAGCAGGCGCAAGAATTGATTGGGACGCTGCAACGTGAAAAGATGTCACTTGAGGAAGACGGGGCTGCTCTCCATGACGCCGTCGAGGTGTTGCAGGAAAAAGTTGTCTCTCTAAGAGCACAGCATGAAAAAAGGCAACGAGAAGAAACGGAATTGGCGGCGGAGCTGCAGAAACATAAAGTACGTTTGTATGAACTGAAGCAGTGCCTGGAACGAGAGGCGTCCTTGAGGAATGATGCCGTGAAGAGGACGGAAGAAGCGAAGCGGTCGGCGGAGGACGCGGCACGGCAAACAACACTCCTCCAGGACGAACTACAGCGCGAAAAGGAGCGACAAAAGAGCGTGGAGGAGGAGGTTCTGCAACTTCAGCGTCTTCTCCGTGTGGCGAAGGAGGAAGAAGAAGATGCGACAACTCGAAGACAATGGCAAAGCGACGAGCTCCGTGTGGCGCAATCTGCCTTACAAAAATCCAAGGAAGCGTTCCTGCGGCAAAAAGAAAAACATGAGGCGGAACAGAAAACATTTGTATCTTTTCGTTGCAGTGAACAGGAGGTTTTGGGCCAGATAACGACGGAGGAAGAGGCCTGCAAGGAATGTGCCAATGAACTTGAAACGCAGCGGGGTATAGAAGCTGTCATGCGTGAGGAACTTGCAACACTCCACGCGGAGTTATTAGAGGCACAGAAGGAGAAGGCAGCGGTGCAGCGATCACTTCAAATCATGAATGAAAAGTTGGAGGCGGCAAAAACGGCCTTGTTGCGCGATGAAGAGATGCCTGGCACAATAAAAGGGACTTTTCCTCCTGCTGCTGCTACTACTACTCTCGTGTCATCATCCGCGTCATTATCATCCCCGCAACGGAACCTCGTGGAGGTGTTGCATCCAAAATCAAGCAACTCCAAGAATGGCAAGAGCCCTGCTCCACTACATGTTCAATTGAACAAATCGCCTGATTCAAAGGTTGCATCATT